GGCCTGGCTGCCCCTGGGGAGCACCGTGCCCATCAGCAGCCAGCCCCCACAGCTTGCTGTGCCCCCAAGGAGAACCAGCCCTGCAGGGGTTTTTTAGCAGCAGAGCATTCCCCAAGGCTGGGTGCAGCCCCACCACTCCCCTGAATGACTTGGGGGGCCCCAGGGGACACACAGGAGTTTCCTGCCACTGAGCACAGCCCGCCCTGCAGCAGAAGCTCTGGTGACCCCACCCTGAAACTCCCCACCCAAGTAAGACCATCCTCCACCCAGACAGCTCCCCCACCCCAGGCACAGCCCCATGAGGCCAGGGACGTACAGCCACTGGATGTGGTTCTTGGATTTCTTGGTGATGAGCTGTATGCCCTCCAGGACGTTGGTGATGTCGTAGATGCGCCTCTTCTGCACCTTCAGCACCTCGGCCGCCCAGTTGAGGTCCACCACACCATCTGGGGACTGGCTCAGCAGCTCCAGGAAGCGCTTGGTGGTGAGGTTCAGGGAGGTTTCATACCGGGACTTCTCTCCAGGAGACTTTGCCCCTGCCAGACGTGGAGGACAAGTGTCATTCAGCCACAAGGGAAAGCCAGAGCTGAAAGGTCACAAAACTCCTGCTACCTGCTTGCAGGTGGCTTGTGGACTAGTGACCAGGTCTGGCACCCCAAACCCGATCTGTTTTGTCAGGGCAATGGGGTGAGGTGCCCAAATCCCCTGCAGGAAGGAGGTTGCAGCACCTGGCACAGGCTGTGACACCTGTGCTCCGGGTGTGACTGAGACAGAGAGTGGCAGGCAGGGCTCAGGGGGGAGAGAGCAGCAGGTCCTCCTGAGACACTGCACTGACACCACGCTGACACCTACAGCTGCATCCCACAGGGAGGGACAGAGCCAGCATGACACCCAGCAGAAGGGCAGGACAACTGTGCCACCAGCACAGGGCACAGCAGTGAGTGTGGAGAGTGGACAGCCCCAGGGACAGCCCATTCCAAAGGGAGAACCTGCCAGGGATGAGCCTGGGGGAGCTCTGCTCTGAGCTGGGCTGGCAGGGGGGGCAGCGGGAGTGGAGCTGATACCTTTAGCAGGGTTCCTGGCCTTGCCCCGGCTCACTGGCAAACTCTCCGCTATGTACTGGTGATCCGTCTCCAAGTTCAGCTTCCTCTTCACCTGCAAGGGACGGGGTCAGGCTCCAGTGCTATTGAAGGGCGTCTGTGAGGAACCCCCCAGCACCGTGGGCTACAGACACCCCAGATCNCCTGGGTGCCCCAGTTGGTCCCAGGGTGGCCACAGGTGGTCTCAGTGTGGTCACTGTTGGCCCCACAGTAACACTGGGTGCCTCAGCTGGCCCTGGGGTGGCTCTGGTCTGGTGATGGATGGTCCCAGTGTGGTCGTTGTTGACCCCACCTTAGCCCTGGGTGCCCTAAGCGAGGCCCCAGTTGGTCCCAGTTTGACTGTGAGTGGTCCCAGTGTGGTTGCTGTTGACCCCACCATAGTCCTGATCACACCAATGTGGCCCTAGTTGGTCCCAGTTCAGCCATGGATGGTCCCAGTGTGATTGCTCTTGCCCCCTGGGTAGCTCTGGTTGCCCCAGATGGCCCTGGGACTGCCCCAGTTTGACCATGGGTGGTCATAGTGGGGTCATGGCTGGTCCTAGCATGGCTTTGGTTGTCCCACTGTGGCTCCAGTTGGTCCCAGTTTGACCACAGATGGTCCCAGTGCAGTTGCTGTTGGCTTTGAGATAGCCCTGATTGTCCCAGTTGGTCCCAGTTTGACCACAGGTAGTCCCAACATGGGCACTGACAGCACTGGGAAAGTCCTGCTTTCCTCAGATGGCACTGGATTGGCCCCAGTTTGACCGCAGGTGGTCCCACTGTGGTTTTGGTGGTCCTGGAGTGGTCCCCTGACACCCAGGCTGGTTCCAAATGAGTTCCTGGTGGTGCCCTTCCATGCCCTCAGTGCCAGGCAGCCTTTGCTCCGAGCTGCTTCCCTCTGGAGCAACATGCCAGGATCCTGGTACCGCCAGGGATGGGAACCCCCTGCCCCAGCAGGCTGGGGGACACGAGGAGGAGGAAGAGGATCTGTCCCCATCCCTTGCCTGGCACAGGCACCTGGGAGCTTGTGCCTCCATTCCAGGATTTCACTTTCGGAGAAAGGGACATGAACCTGTTTTTTCTTGGATTTTGCAGAATTCCAGGCAGGCTTTGCCTCCCTCAGCACACCTCTGCTTTCACAGGGAGCTCTCCAGGACACCCTGATTGCTGAGCTCAGCTCTGCTTGAGCCTGGTCCCAGATCCAAGCCCCAATGTGACCCAGTGCAGCACGTGGAGCTCCCTCACCTCCTGCTCCCCCTGGGACAACGTGCTCCAAGCTGAGCCCAAGGCATCACAGCTATTTTTACCATCTCCCAGCTGTTCCAGGTGTGTGCAAAGCAAAAGAGGTGGAAAAAGCCCAGCTGGGCCCTGGCAGGGGCATCCAAGGGCTCCAGGGTGCACGTGCACTCCCTGCCCTGGGCACGGGGCTGTCCCTGTCCCCAGGGAGGCACAGAGCTCCAGGGGCTGGAGCTGCTGAGCACAACCATCACCAAATCCATCTGAAATGGGAGCAGGAGCAGAGCACAGGCCAGGGGTACAGCAGGGACAGGGGCTCACCTTGCATGGAGCATGGCTTGGGTGATGGTGAGGCTTTGCCCTGGATCAAAATATCCCTCTTGGAAGGGCTTCCCACACTCCCATCTGCCCCAAAACCCCACACTTGGTGCCCAGTGGCATCCCTGGGAGTCAGTGTGGGTTTCCATGTGGGAAGGAGCAGCCTGAGAGTGAAGGGAACTTCAGGCTGATGGCAGGAGGTGGCAGGTGTGACCGTGTTCACAGGGGTCTGAGGATGAGGGAAGAGACGAGGATCTGACTCCATGTTTCAGAAGGCTGATTTATTATTTTATGATATATATTACATTAAAACTATACTAAAAGAATGGAATAAAGGATTTCATCAGAAGGCTTGAAAGGAATAGAATAAGAAGGAATGATAACAAAGGTTTGTGGATCGGNGGGTGGCTTTGGGCTCTGCAGGGTGTCCCAGGCTGTCCCTGTGTGTTCCCCCTGCCCTGGGGTGACAGCCAGCCCAGCCCAGCCTGCCCTGCTTTGGGGACATCAGTGCTGCTCAGCCGTGCTGGGGCAGGGGCTCTCCTGTCCTGCGGGGCCAGGCGCCTGCAGGATTTTAGTCCAAAAGTGCTGGAGCGATGCAGGGCTCAGCTCAGGGTTGCCCTTGCTCAAAGCAGCCCCGAGATCACGGGTGAGGCTGTGGAGCAAATCTGGAGGTTTCAGGCTCACGCTGCTTTAGGGATCCAGCAGGCACAGAAACCCCGGGATGCTGCAATCTGCTCCATCCGCTCGGCATTCTGTGTTTCCGAACACCGAACAGCTCCTTCAGGACTGCCTGATAACCCCGCAGAGGGCAGAGGAAAAGCTCTGCCGGCAGCACAACCTGCACTTGACCGTGCCAGGCGCTCTCTGCGGCCGTGGCACCGTGTGGCAGGGGACAGGCAGGGACACAGGGACAGCACACGGAGCCGGGAGTGGCCCCATGTGCTGAGAGAGATGAGAGTCCACCCACAGACACGGGACAGGCGGCTCCCAGCGCCACGATCTGCTGCCTGCAGGACACTGATAGCCTCTGCTGCATGAGGAAGCAAAATGAAAAAGGAAAAAAGTACATCCTGCTAATAATAATTAAAAAAAAAAAACACAAACATTTCAAGATTGGGCCTTTTGCAGAGCCCAGATGTGGGGAAGCTCTTGAGGAAAGTGTGGAGCAGGGTCTAATTCAAGCACCCAAACCCCCACTGAGCCAAGCCCAGGGGTTTCACCCCTCTGTGCCCCCCAGGAACTGCTCCACGTGTCCCTGGGGGTTTTTGGTGGAGCACAGTGGCCCCCAGCCTGCTGCTGGTGCCAGGCAGGGCTGGGAGCCAGTGCTGGCTCCTGCCCCAGCCCAGCTGCCAAGCCTGACCTGCCTGGGATGCAGGAGAAGGAAGGGCTGTTTGTACCAGCAGTGCCAAACTTGACCTGCCTGGGATGCAGGACAAGGGCTGTGCAGAAGAGTTTTGCAGAAGAAGGGCTGTGCAGGAGGAAGAAGGGCTGTGCAGGAGAAGGAAGGGCTGTGCAGGAGAAAGAAGAAGGGCTGTTTTTCCCAGCAGTGCGTGGGATGCAGGAGGCATTTGCAGGGATGAGTTAACTCCTCTGCTGCAGAGCAGATCCTGACATGCAGTGCCCCTGTGCTGGCCTAACAGGTTTCTGGCTTTAAAGGATTTTATGCTGGATATTTTGGCAGTGGTTGCAATTCCCATGGGGATGGCCAGCACTGAGTAGGGCTGTGATTTCCCTGGATCCCTCCATCCTTAAATACAGCAGGACCATGGTGCATGTCCGTGACCAATCAAATCAACTTGCTGTGCCTCATTTCTTCACCAGCACAGAGCAAATAGAAACGCTGCCTCGCTTAAAGGAAATTAATACACTTAATTAACACTTGGCCCTTCTAATATTCCAGGCCCCACTCTCCAGAGCCTTTCCAGTGCAATATCATCATTACTAGGAAGCATGAGCAACAGTTAGACCAGATGTTTGCACACAGTTAATGCTTCTTCCATCTGGGCAAGGGGAAGAGGCATCCCCAGCAGGCGGGCGGGAGCGCAGGGCTGGCGGTGCTCTCCCCGCGCATCCCTGGGGAGCCCCAGGCCGGCGTTTCCTGGGATGAGGCAGGGTTTGGGACACAGCTGCCGCACCAGCTGCTCCCGCCCGCCTCACAAAGGCTGCCTTCACCCCCCCTAATTCATGCGGGAGCTGCTCGGGGGGAGCCGGCTCTGCCCCCTCTGCGGAGCGCGAACAGGGCCGTCTGTGGAGACAAATGAAAGGCAAACGCTGCTGGGAGAAGGGCGGGCAGGGCCTTTCCTTGCATGTGGATGAGGGGAAGCAGATGAATTGTGTCTCAGCACAACTGCAGCCCCGCTAAGGAGTGCAGACGTGCTCCCAAGATTAGCTGTGCGGCAGGTGCTGCTCCCAGATAAAGCCCTGTCTGCACAGCCCTGCTGGGCTGGAGAGCATCGGGAGCCTGCTCAGACACTCTGTGCCCCAGCAGGATTCAGCCCGCGGGAGTTTTGGGTGGGTTTGGCACTGTGGGATGGGCTCAGAGCAAGGGGTGTGTGCTGGGAAAGGCTGCAGCTGGAGCACAGCTGGTACCTGCGCTGGAAAATCACCTGGAGCGGGAGCAGGGGGAGGAGAGCTGGCAGGATGGAAACAGCCCTGGGCTCAGTTACTGTCCCTGCCATGGCAGTCTGTCCTGCCCCCGGCAGCTCCCACACGGAGTGTTCTTGTTTCTGTGGTTAAGATGACCCCAAGGTGTCAGAAAGTCTATTTTTTTCCCAGCCCCGCGATTGAAGAAGAAGTTGAGATTCGTTGGTTCTGCTTTTCAAGGTTGTTTATCTTTTCTTATCTATTCCATTCTTTCTCTGACCTGCTGAGATCTGTCCAGCAGGTCGGGTTGTGACAGTCACACCCTTGGGGTGATGTTGGTTTTTTATACTAAAAACTGGGTGTGCTTTATTTACAATAATTTTCAAATACCTATCACCTATGTTAGACAGTCTGTCTCTAAACCAATCCAGAAGTGCCACCATCACAGCACAGGATGGAGGACAAGAAGAAGGACAGGACATGGCCAGATTCCTCCAACTTGCCTCTTGAACACCCATTCTAAATCCCCAAAATTTTACTTTTCCACCCTGTGACAAATTCACTATCATTCTATTCAAACTCTTGTGGTTTGTACATCTTCACACAAAGTTGGTAATTGTTTCCATGGGTTATAATCAAAGGCACAGGTGTTTGTGACTCCGTGCCAAGGTCTCTGAGCCCCCTGCCAGGATCTTGAGTCCTCCAGGGCAGTCAGAGGAATGCCCTGGGTCCCAACAGAGTGTGCTGAGCTGGCTCATGGAAGGAGAGCAGGACTTCCCTGGGGTCTCCTGCCAATGCCCGTCCCCAGGTTTGTTCACAGGATGGTGAGCTGGCAGTGTGGCACAATCTGCAGCTGGGGAAAGCCCAGAGCCCCCCAGTTGTGCTGCCCTGACACTGCAGTCCCTCAGCTCTGCCACTTGAGCCATCTCTGTTCTGTGCAAACCAAAGCAATTTTCTGGAAGCACTGAGTGTCTAAAGCTGCCTTGTGGCAGAAGGGAGCAGCCCTGGTTTAGGTGTCTCCTCCTCTCAGCCCCAGTCCCCAAAGGCAGGCAGTGCCTGTTCCCTTGCATCTTTACAGAAGATGACACAGTTCTTCCCACAGGACACAGGTGTGGGGGCCTGAATATATGTTGTATTGTAAGACCTGTGTGTGTCAATGTGGGGGCCTGAATATATGTTGTATTGTGGGATCTGTGTGGGTCCGAGTTGCTCCAAACGAGCTGCAGCTGCAGGGTCCTTAGTTGGGCAGCAGCTGTAGCTCGT